AACAATGGTGAAGTTTGGTATCATCAGGGGGTCCTAAAAACAATTTCCTGCAGAATCTGAAGGGTGACTGTATGTGCATATATATACTTTTATATAACTTCCCAACCCCCTACAGATAGGTTGCATAACATAGTCCTGTCCAATAAAAAGTAAGTGGAAGCTGCCCAGAGGAGCTTTTTAAAAAGAAAGGTGTGGAATGGCTCAAACCCTTCCCCCCTGGTCCTTATCTCTGCCTGAAATATATTTGTGATAGCTGGTACACCAGCAGCTATCTTGGCATGAAGATGACCCTGGAATGGTAGAAGCTAGAAGAAGCTGGGTCTCAGGACACTTGCTGCATTAGTCCCATCACAGCATCCCCTGGACTCCTTGTTATAAGGGAAAGTTGTCCACCTGTCTATTTGAGCCAATGTTTTCTGGGCTTGCTGCTAACTAAGGATCTGAAGCAGAGAGGGACAGAGAAACCAGCAGAGAAAGTACGTAAAGGCCTTACCACCCCTGAAGTCCACAGTTTTCCTTCACCACCAGTTCTGGACTCCACGTTTATATATGCAAAGTCAGGCTGGTGGAGTGGCTCAAGAGGTAGAGCACTTGCTTAGCAAGTGTAAGGTCCTGAGTTCAAGCCCCAGTGCCACCAAAAAAGAAAAAAAGCAAAAGTCCAAGGCACCTTTTCCCTATAGAAGACACTCGGCACATCTTTGTCTTAGGTGACAGAGGCCAGAGCAACAATTTGAGGAGGTGGACTTCCTGGGAGGGGAGGTGCACTCCAGGCTGACATGAGAAATGACACAGAGCAATGCCCAGTGGGCAGCACACTCTCAGTCACGAGAAGCACACCTTGTACCCCAGTGGGGACTATGCCCAGGCTGTCACCCAGCATAAAGTCACCTTATGTATTCAGAAGCTCAGCTGTGTCTGAAGCTAGGCAGAGGGAAGGGAGAAGACGCATTACTAGTTAATGAACTTCATCTGGAGTGCACACCAACTCTTCCTAAACGCGGTGGTGAGGACACAAAGGTATTCTCAATGCATGGATCTTGGCTCTGGGGCCTGTCAGTGCCATCCAGTGCTGGTCCTGATCCTGCCGCTCTCCTCCTTGAGCCTGTGTAGGCACAGGGAAGGAGAGGGCTGGTGAAAAGAAACCATCAGCATTTCCAATTTAGAGCCGAGGTGTGCAGCCATCCTTTGCACCACCATGTTTCAATAATGAGCAACCTTGCAAGCAGGTGAGGCGTTGAGTGTCACTTAGAGCTTCACCCCAGTTTCCTGGAAGGAGTCACTATACCAGAACTGCCACACACACACTTGCAAGGAGAGAAGGGCAAGAACGTCTCCCAGGACCAAAATAACAGGAGGAAGTGAAGGGGCATTGTTGCTAAAATTAATGTCTGTTTTACCAAACTCTGCAGCCAGATAAAACCTTGAAACTCGCTGCCACCCGCTTCCCGGCAAGCCTGCAGTATGCCCAGCAAGCTTGGATTATATCCACTGGCCTCCATCACATTCAGCACAGGCCGGAGGCTGATACAGAGAGACCTGGGTTCCAAGTCAAGGGCCTGAATGCTTTGCAGCTGAACTCCATTGAGCCTTGGTCTCCTGGTATGTGAAGAGGGATAATGTCACCGGGTCTGCTGGGATTCCTGGGAGGATTAGTAATAGCAAATATAAAGCAACCTCCCCAGCCCCTGGGTCTTAGGGGCTGAGTCGTTGTTCCAGTGGCGGCCACAATGGTTACTGTTTCTGTGGTCACCATTACAGCGTTACTCATGCTGATTGTGCGTAAAGCTCTCAGGAGAAGTCAATTGCAAAGGTTTCCATCTGCTGAGGTCAGTGTTCCCAGGCTCTTATCACCCAGATTCCCTGTACTATGTCTCGCCCTCAGTCTCACTTTCTACGGTGGAAGCCCGTTTTCTAGCTCTGATTTCACTGGTGGTAGAAAAAAGGCCACCAAACCTGATCCATAAGCGATCTCTTCAATTAGAAGTGACGATCTTCAGCTTAGGAGGTTCACACCCGGCTCCACCACAGGTTGTTTTAGACTCACCCCAAGGTGGCTGATCTCAAAGACAGCTATAATAGGATTATCCTAAAGGTTAAACCCAACAAGTCACTAGGAGGAAAAACAGTGTGTGATTTGCATTATTGAGTTCGAGTGAGTCGCTCATTGGTTTTTATGTTCAAAAAATAAAAAGATAAATGTTTTTTTTCCTGCTTATTGGTGTGTATGGCTAAATGTGTCTACTCCAAACTCATGTGTTCAAATCCTAACCCCTAACATGAATGGGATTAGTGACCCAATAAAAGAGACCCCAGAGAGCGCTGGTCCTCTCTCTGCCCTCTGAGGATGCAACAGGAAGCTGCAGCCTACATCTGGGAAGAAGGCCCTCAGCAGGATGCAACATTGGGCTTCAGCCTGCAGGACTGCAAGAAGCACCTAGGCTGTGGCACTCTGTTATGGCAGCCTGGGGCATGGCCCTTCTTGGTTTCTACTTTCCCTTTCCCTTCATGGTGGGCCCATCTTCAGCAGCAGGGAGTCTCTGAGAAGACAGGAGACAGGGAAGAGGAAGAAAAGCAGCCTGGAGGCTACTGCAATGAGCGAGCAATGGAACAACTGCTTGGTGAGCTGCCCCTTGAGGTCAGGCAGAGTCCAAAGACGCTCCTGGGGAGAGCTGGGCATAGGATGAGAGATTGGGCACTGCCCCAACAGTGGGGAGCCAGCTTCGCTTTCCTGGAACCTCGCAGGCTTCCAGAAAGCTACCTCATCAGCCCTCAGGGTGGCAGCTATTCAGGGCTGCACTGGGGATCCTAGGTCCTCTCCAAATCCATCACCTGGCAGATCTCACTGGGCCCTGCTACGCACCAAGCACATAAGAGAACCACATGTCGCCCTGGCAGCACACATTACTAGAGGAAGACAAGCAAGCAAACAGGATGGAGAAAGGACAGTCTGTGTGGCAGAGGATGAAGATATCCAGGCGGGCGGGCCAGTTGGATGTGCAGTGGGAACACAGGGCCACTCAATGAGAGGACTGCAGTAGAGGGAGGGTCCGGGGTGGGGGTGAGGAGAGCCAGGCAGACTGCAGTGGAGTATGTGGTAGGTGAGAATCGCCGGTGCAAAGGTAGATGCACCTGGAAGCCAAGGAGAAAGGAGGCTGGTGCTGGTGTGGAGAGCCTGTGAGAGTGGAGTGGGCTGAGGCCGGGGTAATGGTTGGTGACCATCCAGGCCATGTGAGGAAGTGAGTTTTGTCTGAGTGAGATAAGCTCTCTGGCAGTGGATCCCTGTGGATGCCCTGGCTGCTGTGCTTAGCCATTGCAGGGGGTCAGGGTGCAGGCAGGCAATGAGGCTGCTATCACACTCACACGGCAGGACACAGCGGAAGGAAGCAGTGGAGGCAGGGAAGGTCATCATATTCTGGACAATCTTGTAGGCAGCCAACAGGCTTTGGTGAGGACTTGGATGTGGGTGTAGGAGGAAACAGGAACAATAAAGACTACAGAACCTTAGCCATGCCCTTGGCCTTGGACTGAGAAAGGACAGAACACTGACAGCGTGGCTGTGCAAGGACGCAGATGGCCTGCCAAGTGGCCTCGTGGAGAGTTCGAGCAGGCAGGTGACTGTGAGGTCGGAGTCAGGAGAGTCACAATCTGGGCCACACACTGGGGAGCCACTGGCTTATCAATAACCATAAGAAAGAGAACCTGGTCGTGAGCTGACCACCTCAGGAGATGCCCTCACAAGGTGGGTGTCAGTCCCAGCTTTGTTGCCACCTTCTGCCACTTCTCAGAGGCAGTCACTTTCCCGCCCTGAAAGGTCAGAGGCGGGTGAGCATTTCAGGACCAGGGAGTCTGTGACTGATTAAGGATCGTAATGCTGCACACTGCTCAAGTACAAGGCTATCTCACATTGGAGCGAGACCTGGTGCCAGGTAACTTGGGGCAAAATGAATGTAGGGCAAAGTGCCCTGCAGGGGTGGGGAGGGGATATTGAGCCAGGTGGCCCTGCACTGGCTCCCACAGCTCTTCTCACTCCACTGAGTTTGTTGCCATTTGTCCTCACTGACTGGCTCTGGAGTCAGTGAACCTTCCCTCCCCTGTCCTGATTGCTGAGCATTCTTTGTCTCTACCCTCATCGCACCCCAGAGCTTTTGTGCTCCCTTCATAGCAGACCCTCCACATCTTTTTGTTTGGTTTGGTTTGGGGAGTGATAGGGTCTGGGTGATTCCCATAGCTGACACCCCATCCCCCGCTCTGGCACCCCTAGACTGTCCTCCACACCACAGATGCTCCATGAGACTTAGGAAGAAGACACAAACAGCACCCTCTGCAGGCTGCCTGGCCAGCACTATGTAGACAGTGGACACTGGAGTAAGTGGGAGATACATGTCATCACCTTCTTCTAAGTTTGTCCACACGGACTATGCTACTATTAACTGAACATTTTCCTTTAAAAGAGCTGAAGCAGATAAGCTAGTGGGGTCATAATAGGAATTTTAAGCACTCATTTAAATTAATTCCTGGGAAGTCTATGCAGAACCCTTCAAGCTGAGCCCTTTCTGGCAGAAACCCACCAGTTCCCATAAGCACATGCAAATCAGCACTCTGCAGATTCCATATTTCACTGCCAGATTTCTTCCCACTTTCTAGAGGAACGAATCCCAGCTCTGTTACTGCAGCATCACGGGACTCTTTAGTGGCACACAGGTGCCCAGCAGCTGTGTCCTCCCACCCCCACTCTGTCCCACCCCTGCTCAGTGCCCGGTACACAGTGGAGCCAAACAGTGCAGCAAGCAATGCTTTGTTTGAAAGGTTTAAACATCAAAGATAGCACGCCCATGTTGGAGGCGTTCTTGGAAGAGATCTGCTGAAGACAATATTTGGCCAAAAGAATTCTTTTCAATCATTGCCTGGAAAGGGGGCCGCCTGCCCCGGACAAAAGCACCTCAGTGGGTCCACAACCGAACTGTGCATGAGGAAAGCAGCACAGAGCACCCATCGCCTACCTTCCGAAAGTCCCGCATGTCAATCTTCCCATCGAGCTCCTTGCTGATGTTAAGAAATCGCTCTCTGAAGGTTGGGTCCTGCAGCTGGATACAGGTTTTGAGTTTTTCAATGACCTCTTCTTTGGTCATGTTCTTGGTCCTGGCAGTATTATCCTCCACGGACTGGGCTCTAAAATCACAAGCAGGCCTTAGATCTGGTGCGAGCTCACACACATGGAGTGCTTCCTACGGCCCCGCTATCACCACATCCCATAACCACAGGGAAGTTAACCAGCCAGTCCCACAAGTGGGGGAGCAGATGCTCAGAGAGAAAGGTAACTCGATAGCCTTCCTGTGCTCCCCAGTTCCACAGTCAGCACCGTGTCACCATAGGCTCCTGTTTGCTGGACCATGGTGGCAGGTGGTGGGGGACAAAGGAGACTCTCAGTTGTGCTTGGAGCTGGAAGACAATGGCATGGGCCTGGGCACACAAAGTGGAAAGGGTATTGATATCAACTGGGAAATGTGAAGTCAGGGCCCATGACAAAGCTTCCAATTAAAGAATGAGGCCATTTGGTGGTAACTAGGTCAAGGAGGTCATCAAACATCTGTAGAAAGGAGGGAAGCCACAGTTATTTTAAGTCAATTTGTGAAACCGACTTGACTTACAAAAGGTAAATCTTTTGTGATGAGCTGTGGGTGTGAGTGGGAATGAGAGTGTGAGTGAGTGAGTGAGTGAGTGTGAGCGTAACTCTTTCCTCAGCTCTCTGAAGTTCCCTGGGCCCATTTCAGAGGGACAGAGGAGACCTCAGGCCCACAGAGATGGGATACCTCCCTCCACTTCTGATCCTTGCCAGTGCTCCAGGGAAGCCCACACTTTGTGAAATTCTTAATTGCTTTTACTTCTTTCTCTGGTTTTAGGAAGTGGACGTATCTTATCTCAGAATACTTAACCTTTCTCTTAAAATACCATCTTTCTGCCCGTGTATAAAGCAGTTACTATTGAAAAGCCAGATACTCAAATTTCATTAGCATATCATTAAATGAACAGGATATCATTAAAATATTCCCATTGCTCTATACTTAAGAACTTTAAACAAGGAATTTGACAAAATGAAGTCTGCTGAATTTTCCCTTCCCTGCAGATTTATGATAAGCTATGAGCAAGCAAGTTGGAATAATACCTTTTCATTAGACCAAACCTGCATTTTTCACAAGGCAGAAGAGCTAGAATATTCACCAGTCTGATTTTTTACAGTTTACTAAGTGTGTTTAATTGTTCCCTTTCAATTTGACCCTGGTTTAATAATTTTGTCATTCATATTAGGAAATGCTAAGTGGCTTAATGGGGATGTTTGCAGTAAGTGCTGAGTGGTGGTAAGGCAGCTAAGTCTCTGAAAATGATAGGTGTGGATGCCGTGTGTGCACTGGGAGGCGAGTCCCGGCTTCTTGACCCAGGTGGGCTACCAAGTTTTTGAGAAGACCTGAGGCAAGTCCCCGCTTTCTCAGATGGCACTGCCTCTGTTTCTGAAATTAACAGGCGACTGACTCATCATCCCTAAGAACTCTGCTTCCCTGACTCTAGTCACTGCATGTATAGAAATGCCATCTTTCTTGTCTAAATAAAAATTAGTGAAATATTCATTTAGTCAACAAATGCCTACTAAACGCCTATCCCATGCAGGGCATGCTGTGCTCCATCTTACCTCTCAGGGAGCTCCCCATGCTGCCGTTCCTCCTTTTGAATCCCTTCACTTGGCTGATCCCTTGGAACAAGAACTGGAGAGACGGCAGGCGGGCCGTCAGTTCCTACGCATGCCAACAGGCTCTTGTAAAGGATTCCTCCTGAAGCCATACTGTAAAACTTATCACAGAACCTGGATTTGGAAAAATAGAGCACACCCTTTGGAATGGCTAAAATTAAAGACTGCCTCTATGAGCTGGGCATGGTGGTACACACCTGTAATCCCAGCACTTAGGAGAATCATGAGTTCAAAGCCTTGGCTAAATAGTCACCCTGACTCAAAAATACGTGCAGACATACACACATACACACGTATATCACCCAAATACACATATATGCATGGGTACATATATATAGGCACACAAATAAATACACATGCACACCTACACACGTACATGCACACATACGTGGATACACAGACATACACAAATGTGCACGCATGCACGTACACTCATATAAACACACATATTCAATATACAGCTCCCTGCCACTGCTCTTGGGAACACGAAATGGTAGAGCCACTTTGGAAGACGTTTTGGCCACTGAATATGCTGTTACTAAAGGAACTAGCCATTCTGCTTCCAGGCATTTACCAAAGAAAAATGAGATGTGTGCTTGCATAAAGAGTTGTGCAGTACAAACAGCTTCATAGTCACATGTCCATTGACACGAGTGGATACACAAACTGGTAAAGCTATGCAGTGGAGTACTACTCGGCTATGAAAAGGACTGAACTGTTGGTATTTGTAACAACATGAGTGAATCTCAAAGTTACTATGCTTAGTGAGTAAAGCCAGGCAAAAAAAGAGAACATCTTGTATTCTCCCGCTTATATAAAATGCAAAATAATCTACAGTGACAGAGAGCAGATCAGTGTGTGCTTGAGGCTGGGGCAAGGGAGTGATGAACTGAAAGGGCACAGGGAAGGTGGGGGGTGACAGAAGTGCGTGATATTTGATTGGTATCTTATGGTGGTTCCTGATGAATTTTACCAAATCATAGCATTTTAAATATGTGTCCTTTACTGCTTATAAAGTATGCCACAATAAAGCATGCTACGTGAGGAAGAATTTTTAAATTAGAAATTTTGTTATGAAATTATGTAAGAACTTGTAATAGAATATCAGCATAAGCAAAAGCTGTAGGTAATGCAGGGGACAACGGATGTGATGACACTGACTTCTTCCCTTCTCTCTCTCTCTCCCTTTGTTACTTCTTTGTGGGGCTGAGGATCAAGCCCAGGTAGGCAAGCATTCTGCCACGGGTTACCCTCCCCAGTCCCAGGACCGGTTTCTTTGTCAGTCTGTTTATTATTATTGTGCATGGTTGTTGTTGTAAACTTGATAAAGCCTAAGGAGCAGACAAAATTTCACACATTCATTAAAATCCACAAGACTGCAAGCTCAGCAGCATGGACGGAGGCCCTGGGACCTGGTTGTGGCTTGGATATGAGCTCTGTGTTTGCAGAGCTGTGTGCCAGGAGGCAGGGCTCATGAGCAGCAGTCTGAGGACACTTTCAGGGAGTCAGTGAGGCCCCAACTACTTTCCTGTTGGTGCTAAGGTACTGCCTGGCTTTTCCACAAGTGCTGGTGGAGCTGAGGCCAGAGTGGCAACCACAGCCTTGCCGACATAAGGGAGCAGGCACAGCATGGCCTGTGCTGCTGATGTTTCTGAGTTTGTAGGCGGAGGGCATAAGTGGGAAGTAGGAGGAGTTGTTCAGAGACTAACTCCGTCTCTTTATAGCACTTCTCCTGGGCTCCTGTGTCCCACCTGATGCAATCTGTTACCTCACTGACATCCAACAAATCGTCACTTTGACCATGAGCCCACATGGAAAGACACCAAGGACACTTCTTTCCTACACCACTCTTTTTAAATTTCTTGATTTTAATTCTTATATAGCAAATAATGACGGACATACCCTGCAGGGCAAAAACTCAGCCTTCATCATTTTCAAGGAACACGAGTGTTAAGAATTGCCCAGTTTGCATGTTACTCACCTCTGTGCTTTGGGGTCCACATCTATAAAATGCAAGTGATGAAAGGACCTAGAGCAGGGGGCTTCTATAATGACAAGTCATGGGCTGGCATGCTGTGCGTATAGCCACTCAACAAACAGTAGCTGTGAAGTGCTTACGACAGAGACCTCGCTGGGGGCTGAACATGAACTCTGAAGCCATCCCCAGCTCAGTGAGTACCACTACGACTCTCATCGCTGCAATAAATATTTAGGCAATCTGCATATTAACCACTGTGCTAAGTACTGTGATGACAATTATGAGCAAAATAGAACAACTTCCACCACCTCATGGAGCTTCCGTTGACCAGGACAAAAGCAACAGATTGTCTAAGTGTGCAGAGGCAAGAGCGAGCCCCATGTTTTCAAGAGATCAAAGCAGTGGGCCCTGGCTAGAGCCAAGACCAGCCACAAAAGCAGCTGAGAACACAGTCTGCAGATGAACGACACATGTGGCACAGAGTCAAAAGCTGTGGGTACACAAGCTCACTTGATCCTGATTACCACTCCAAAATGAACGTTTGCATGAGGAAACAGAGGCTTACAGAAGTTGCTGGTTGCATGGTGGCTCATGCCTGTAATCTTAGCTACTTGGGAGGATCATGGGAAGATCACACTTTGAAGCCAGCCTTGGCAAAAAACTCACGAGGCCCCATCTCAATGAATAAAAGTGGGGCAGGATGGCACATGTCTGTTATCCCAGATATGCAAGAAGCATGTAGGAAGACTGCAGTCCAGACTGGCCTGGTCATAAATGCAAGAACCTATTAAAAAATTACCTAAAGTTGGGGCTGACAGAGTAGCTCAAGTGGTAAGAGTGCCTACTTTAGCAAGTGTGAGGCCCTGAGTTCAAATCCCAGTGCCACCAAGAAGAAAAGACCCAAATCAAACAAAACAGATCAAAAACCCTAAGCCAAAAAAAGGAGAGTGGGGGCTGAAGATGTGGCTCAAGTGGTAAAGCACCCATCTAGTAAGCGTGAGGTCCTGAGTTCAAACCCCAGTGCCACCAAAAAAGAAAGAAAAATAGAATTTCATGGAAGGTATGTAGCCTGCCCAAGTTCACAGCTAGTTCAGGGCCAAGCCAGGTTAGAACCCAGTCAGTCTGTCTGGAGACCAAGTTCTGGAGCGGTGAGAGGGTCACGCATGCCTTGGAAGCCAGCATCTACAGTTTGCTTCCTAATGGCAACAGGACAGCAGTGTGTGTTCTGCAGGGTTGCAGATTAGGTGTGTGGGCCCACAGAGAGTGGGCGGCAGAGGCTTCCCGGCTGATTCACTAGGTTGCGTTCACTCATTTGCCCATCACTGATCATCTTCCTGACATCCCATGTCCTGAAAGGCCCTTCCTTGTCTTCTCCAGACTCAGAGGCAGTATCCCACATCCTCGCTCCAAATCCATCCATCCTGCTGTGAACAAGTGAGCAGTCGGTCCTTCCCTTCCCACCCCCATCTTCATCCCCCATGTTCCTGTCATGTCTCTTACAGCACATGGGAGCCATGCTCTATGCTGGGCTCTTCTGCAGTAGGCTGTCCCTAAAGCTCACCAAGTGAAAGAAGGAAGAAGCAAATAATGGCAGCATCTCTTGCTCATTACTTCACACAGCAAAGGCCTAGCCCAGCTGAGGCCTCCACAGACAAGAGGCATGCAATGTGGCCTTTAGTGTCTCTCCCCTACAGGCCACGGCTTGGGCACAGGCCTTACCTCTCATCACTTTCTAAAATCCTCTTGACTCACAGTCCTGTCTCTCCCACCCAGTGTTTCTTCACACTAGCAAACTGATCTTTCTGCAAACATCCCATCAGAATTGGATAAGATGCAATAGAATATCCAAGCTGGATGTCAGCCCTTCTGATCAGGAAAGGCCTGGCTTCTCCTTCCTCTTTTTTTTTTTTTTTTTTAGTAAATAAACTTTCTTTTTTTTTTACTGTTTTATTATTCATATGTGCATACAAGGCTTGGGTCATTTCTCCCCCCTGCCCCCACCCCCTCCCTTACCATCTACTCTGCCCCCTCCCTCTCCCCCCTACCCCCTCAATACCTGGCAGAAACTATTTTGCCCTTATCTCTAATTTTACATGAATCTTACATGAAATAAACTTTCATGTAAGGAATTTCACATGTTGTAATTCCTTCACTGCCAACAAGGTAATCTCTAAAGCAGAAGTTCAGGAGTCCTCTTCTGTAAGCCAGCCCTTTTAAAAGAGTCGATGTTTACTGCAGATGTCCTCTTGGCATTGCCACAGTTCTTATATTTGAGCTTCTTTTATCTCCAATTGAACTGTGCCCATACTGAGACAACTTCAGATTCCTCACCTTGGATTTTTGGGGTCTAACTTCTTCAAGTCATTTTCTTTAGGATCCCTTTTAGGGTCTATGGTTCTACATGCATCTGAATTGCTGACATCTTCTCTAAACATGAATGAGTTCAGATCCTAAGCAAACACACTCAGGAATGATACAAATCTGTGGGATGTACAGCCAGGTCTGGGTGATGTACACTCAGATGTGTGAGATGTACAGCCAGATCTGTGTCATGTACAGTCAGGTGTGTGTGATATACAGTCAGATCTAAGGTATATACAATCAGATATATAGGATGAACACTGAGCTATGCTGGATATACAGTCAGATCTAAGGGATGTATAGTCAAATCTGGGTGATATACAGCCAGATCTGTTTCATGTACAGTCAGGTGTGTGTGATATACAGATAGATCTGTGTTGTGTACAGTCAGGGGTGTGTGATATACAGTCAGGTCTGTGTCGTGTACAGTCAGGTGTGTGATATAGTCAGATCTAAGGGATGTACAGTCAAATCTGGGTGATATACGTCAGATCTGTGTCATTTACAGTCAGATGTGTGTGATATACAGCCAGATCTGTGTCATGCACAGTCAGGTGTATGTGAGGTACAGTCAGATGTGTGTGTGATATACAGCCAGATCTGTGTCATGTACAGTCAGGTACGTGTTATGTACAGTCATATCTGTGTCATGTACAGTCAGGTGTGTGAGGTACAGTCAGATCTGTGTCATGTATGGTAAAGGGTGTGTAATATACAGTCAGGTCTAAGAGACATACAGTCAGATCTGTGAGATGAACACTCAGCTATGCTGCATGTATGGGCAGATATGCAGGGTGTACCAGTATGCCAGGTTTTCAATACCAGACCTCATGTTTTCAATCTTCATGCACCACAGCATCAAAACTGGAATCTAACCAAGTTAGCTGGGATTTCTTATGATGTTTAGTTATCGACTCTTTGTCTTGGGACAGCCTTAACTGTTACCAGTTCCCCATCCCTTTCAGCTGACTTATGAATCATAATAGTGTACTGTCACACCTGACTATAATACACTGTCTTATACTGAGACAAAACTCCTGTAACTGAACAGTCAATTCTGGGTTGCAAAAGAGGAGTTATTTTTTGCACCTGTCTATACATCTGTGTAAACACACACACATATACAAGTGCTACCCTCTTCTTATACACCCTTTTCATACAGAAGACAGCCATTAAAAATAGATTATGAGGCCAGGCATGTTGGTGCACACCTGTAATCCAAGCTACTCAGAAGGTGGAGACATCACAATCATAACCCAAGGTCCAGGACCCATCTGAAAAACAAACTAAAAAAGGCAAAAGGACTGAGGGTATAACTCAAGCGGTAGAGTGCCTGCCTAGCAAGCTCAAGACCCTGAGCTCAGTCTGCCATACCCCTCTCAGAAAAGGGTTATGAACATTAGTGTTCAACAGAAAAGAGACTCAAAGAGCCAGGAACACTAATGTGTGTCATTCACATTTAAATTGATGTCATAGAGACAAAGTCAACAAATAAGGTTTTTATTACTTCTGTCAGACTGTGACTTAATTTGATTCCCACCTGACTTAATCCCCAAATCACTGTGCTTGCTTTGGGAAGCACTGGACCAGACCATCTCTGGACTGCCCAGCTCTTGGTTTTTCCAGAGCAGGTCTGAGCAGAGAGCAGGACAGGGGGTGATAACAGAGGCACCATCCTCTGTAGACAGGTGGGGTTCCAAGAGGCAGCTCTTCAAGGTCACTGCAGATGACACAGAACACCAGGTACTGTACCCCACGGGACGCCTGTAGAGCATAGAAGAGACCCGAACAGGGAGACCCAGAGGGGCCTTAAAGAGTATTCTCTTCTCTTCTTAACTCCCTATTCAGCCATCTATCTACCCATTGTCCCTTCTAGCTTTGGCTCATCAAAATACACTCTGAACTAAAGTGGCACAAATCCATTTGTGCCAGAGCCCTGTGATAAAACACACAAAGGTTAAGAGCACAGATCACCTCCTTTCTGCCCCCCACAACTCAGGTGTGAGGCTAGCAAGAGCAGAGCATACAGCACTAACCAACTGTAGTCTGCTTGTCAAATTTCTTGGCCCAGAATTTCTCTACGATTTAACCATGACTGGTCTGCCTCTCTAAAATTAATAGTTGGCTGCATTTAATTAAATCGTTCAATTACCTACATTTCAAGTTTTAAGACCACATGCAACTCTTGCTAGTGCCCTGGCCATCAGAACTCAATATACTTAACTGAAGCAACAAGAGATCTGTCTAAATTCAGTAAGAGTTTAGGTGGAATCTGCATTTTGGACAATGCTTCACAAGATAAAAAATAAAGGAACATATTTGCTTGACAAAAGCAAGAAAGAGTCAGGAGTCTTGGGGACTCCGCGTGGAGCCCAGGCCCTACCACTCACCAGCAACTTGGAGTGGGCACCTAACTTCTCCATCCGTGGAAAGGAGCAACGCTGGCCTCCTTCCTTGGGGGCAGTGAGGACTACATCCTACAACGTGTGTTGAATCCTTAGCCCACGTCCAATGCTTAGGAATGACTCAACAAACATTAGCTATTATCAAAAGTACCTATTAGTGTCACCAAAACACACAGAAAAAGGTTCAGCATTGTAAAACAGATTTGATGAAAAACATGAAATGAATTAATTTTGTTACCAATAACTTACTTCATTAAATGTTCATCTGTTAAAAATGGGCAGAATATGTGCACAATTTTCTTGAAATTATTTTGACCAATGAGCCCTGTGTCTCCAAGGTCGTATGAATGCAGCATGTTGTAAAAAGCTCGGAAATTCCTAGTAATTGTATCATATACCTTTTCTTCCACCTAACATAAAAGAGAAACACATTTTACTGTGCTGTAACCTGGTGCTGCCACCCTTGGTCAGTACAGAAGGGCATCCGTAAAGCGAAGGCAAGAGTTACTTACTGAATCCCAAGCCATGTAGACAGGTGCCTTGGTGTCTGTACTTGGGGAACTTTTGCTCATCTAAGTGGAAAAAGAAAATGTATAACAAAACCACTCAGGAAAGTCCGTAGGAGCTTTAGAGGCAGGTGAACTTGGCCTTGACCAGTTCTACCCCTAACTGTCCAATAGCTTTGAGACCTTGACCAAGTAAGTCTGCCCTTCTTTTGCCATCTGGAAATGGGCATAGCATTTAAGCTGAACTTATTTTTCAAATGTTTTTACTACAATAGTTGTACAGGGGGTTTCATTGTGACATTTCCAGATATGCACATAATGTACTCTGTTTGGTTTGTCCCCTGCATTTCTCCCTCCCCCTTAAAATGACCTCGAAAGATTTCAGTGTTCCATTTTCATATGTATAGAAAATACACTGACCATACTCACCCTCCTTTACCCTCTTCATTTGCCCTCCCCCTGCACTGCTCTCCTCATAACATGACCTGTTTTACATTCTGTCCTTCATTGCTTAAGTGTCTGTTCATTGTTCAGTGGGGTTTTGGCTGTATTTTACCTGCACATATACTGTACTTTAATCTGTCTAACCCCTTCTATTACTCTTCCTTTCCCCCATCCCATATTATTGAACAGTTTCCAGTGCATTTTGTTTGTTCCTACACAGATGTGATGTTTTTTAATGTTATTCACTATCATTCTCTTCTTGTTTCCTTCCTCCACTAGTGTCACTATTGCAGACATGTTCTGTAGAAAGATAGCTAGCTAGATATGTATATATGATAATGCTTGTATTTGTATTTCTATCTATCTTGTACATATGAGAAAAAACATGTGGCCTTTGTTTTTCTGAACCTGGCTTGCTTCATTTAACATGGTTAGCTCCATTCCCATTCATTTACCTGTGAATGACAAAATTGCACTCTTCTTTATAACTGAATAATATTCCATTATATAAATTATAATATATAAATTATACCCATTCATCTTATTGGGAAAAGTGTTGCAATAAATATGGGTGTGCATTCCTTCAGACATATGCCCAGTAGTGGAACTGCTGGAGCATATGGTAGTTCTAGTTTTAGTTTTTGAGGACCTTCCATACTTTTTTCCGTAGCACTAATCTACACTTCCATCAACAGTGTATTAGGGTTCCTCCCTGCTCCCATCCTTGCCAACATTTCTTGATGTTGGCATTCTTGATGATAGCCATTGTAACAGGAATGAGGGGAAATCTTAAAATGTGGTTTTGTTTTGCATTTCCTTTATGGCCAGGGAATTGAGTATTTCTTCATGTGTTTTTTGGTCATTTGAAAAATTTCTGTTTAGTTCACTTGCCCATTTCTTCATTGGGTCATTGACTCTTTAGGAGTTTAGTTTTTTGAGCTCCCTATAAATTCTGGTTATTAATCCTTTGTCAGCTGTATAGCTGGAAAGATCTTCTCCCACTCTGTGGGCTGTCTTTTCAGTCTGTTGACCATTTTCTTTGCTATATAGAAGACTTTCCTTTCTCTTAATTGCAGAGCTATTGGAGTTCTATTTAAGATGGTGTTGCCTATGCCTATATGTTCCAATGTATTGTGTTCTTTCCTGCAGTAGTTTCAAAGTTTCAGGCCTTTGAATTGATATTAGTATGGAGTGAAAGACAGGGAGATAGTTTGTCTTCTATATACAGATATCCAGTTTTCCTAGGACCATTTCTTGAAGAGGTTGTCTTTTCTCCATCATATGTTTTGGGCTACTTTGTCAAAAACCAGATAGTTGTAGTTGTGTGGATTTGTGTCTGGGTCTTCTGTTCTGTTCCATTGGTCTTTGCATCTGTTTCTGTGCAGTACCATGCTGTTTTTGTTGCTATGGCTCTGCAGTACAGTTTGAAGTTGGGTATTGTGATACCCGACTCCAGTGTTTGCTCTTTTTACTCATTATTGCCTTGACTTTTCAAGGACTTTTGTGCTTCCATATGAACTTTAGGGTTGTTTTTTTTCTGTTGGGAATGTCATTGGAATTTTGATGGGGATTGCATTGACCATGTAGATTGCTTTTGGTAGTATGGCTATTTTCACAATGTTAATTCTGCTGATCCATGAGCATGGGGGGCATCTATCTTCTGATATTTTCCTCAATCTCTTTGTTGGGTTTATAGTTTTGTTGTAGAGGACTTTCACTCCCTTTGCTGAACTTCTTCCTATGTATTTTTTTGAGGCTATTGTGAAGGGGATTGTTTTCCTAAATTCTCTCTCATTCTATAGGAAAGTTACTGATTTTTTTATTTTATTTTGTATTCTGCTACTTTGCTGAAGATGCTTAGGATATCTAAGAGTTTTTGGTGGAGTTTTTAGGGTTATTTAGGATAAGATTTGCAAATAGAGGTAATTTGAGTTCTTCCTTCCCTATTTGAATTCCTTTTATTTCTTCCTATGGTCTTATTGCTCTGGCTAGGAATTCCAAGGCTATGTTGAATAAGAGTGAGGAGAGTGGACACCCTTGTCTCATTCCTGACTTCAGAGGAAATGGTTTCAGTCTTTCCTCATTTGGTATGATGTTGGCTATAGGCTTAGCATATAAAAATATGTTGAGGTACAATCCTTCTATTCCTACTCTCATCAGAGCTTTTATCAAGAAAGGATGTTGAATTTTGTCAAAGGCTTTTTCTGCATCTATTGAAATGATCACATGATTTTTGTCCTTGCTTTTATTTATATGCTGTATCACATTTATTGATTTGCATAGCTTGAACCATCCCTGCATCCCTGGAATGAAACAACTTGATATGCTGTTGGATTCAGTTTGCCAGTATTTTGTTGAGAGTTTTTGCATCTATGGTCATTGAAGAGATTGGTCTGTAACTTTCTTATGTCATTGTCCAATTTGGGGATAAGTGTAACACTGGCTTTATAGAATGAGTTTGGTAGCGTTTCTTCCTTTCTATTTCATGAAAAAGTTTCAGAAGTGTTGGTGTTAGTTTTTTAAAGGTCTAGTAAAACTCAGCAGTGCATCCATCAGGCCCTGGGCTTTTCTTTTTTGGAGACTCTCTATTGCTGTTTCATTTCATTACTCTTATATTCTCTTGGTTCAATTTTGGTTGGTCAAATGCATCTAGAAATGTATCCATTTCTTCTAGATTTTCCAATTTTTTTGCATATAGGTCTTCAAAGTATTCCCTACGAATTCTGGATTTCATTGGTGTTTGTGGTAATACCCCTTTTTCATCTCTAATTTTATTAATTTTGGTCTTTTTCCTCCTACACCTTTTAGTCCAATTGGCTAAGGGTTGATCAATCTTACCTATCTTTTTGAAGAACCATTTAAAAAATACAATAAACATGAAAATCCTTCATCTGGAAATCAAATAAATGCAAAATAAAAGAAAAATGAGACGGTATCCTTGAATATCAGGACAATAAAAATGAAAAAGGAAGCAACCTGCTGACTGGCACTGGCCAAGAGTCAGAAATAGTGGGAGTGTAAATTAGGTATGGTTTCTGGAAGGCATTTTGTCTCCTGGTACCTTTGAATAACACTGAGAGACCTGATGATTTGCAGACTCTGCATGGACCAGGTCTGCTGTGGGGAGATCAGGGTGGCTGGGAGCAGGGCAGAAAGGAAACTTACAGTTCCCAGGGTTCCCCACTACACCCTTTGCATTTGGTACTTTATACATACATTCCTCTTTAAAAACAGTTAAAGTGATGAATACAATAAAACTTAAGTTCAAATGGTATTTTCTCAATAATTCCATTTCTAGAACTTCATACTGAATCAATAACCAGAAAGTGATGCAAAACAGGGGGTACAAGATGTTCACTAGAGCAAAATTTACAAAAGGAGAAAAAATGAACACCTATTTAAAAGATATGCTATATCCTTTAAAGTTATGTAGCACAATTTCTGATGTTAAATCTTCACACTGTAATAAAAACTGACAACAGATCAAAGACATTGATTATTATTATGCAATCTGGAAATAAAAATATCACAAAACATGAATGTGCACAGCCAAACTCTTCAGGCTGTCTGGTTACATACAAACATCTTTAAAATATCATTTGTACTGCAATAAGCTCTTTTAAAAAGAAAGTGTGTGTGCATGTATATTACAGGTTTGGAAAGGTGTACAACAAAGACTAACATGGGTAAAGATTCCTTGTTGTTAGTAGTGGTGATTCTTATTCTCTTCTATTTGCATACTATGCTCTCTAATTAATGTATTAGTTCAGTCAATGGCCCAACAGGCCACCCCCTGGGGTAGAGTGAGCCATGTTAACAGGAAGGCCTCTGCCTTTGTGGAGACAGGACAAAGCATGCCACAAATGGAACTTTGTGGCCATGACCAGGGCTGGGGGCCCTGTGAGGTCCATAACCAGAGGATGGGATTTGGCCAGAGATGTCAGGAAGGGTCTTGAGCAGGTTCTGGGCACCTGAGTGCTGGGGATGGTGCTGCCAGGCAAGAGGAGCAGAAAGAGCCCAAGGAGGCAGCAATAGCACTGTGAGGCTGGGAGCAGGCAGCTGGGAGACCTGAGGAAATGAAAGAGGAGACCATGAGGCTGTAAACTACTGGTGAAGTGGGCTCCTAATCAACCATGTCAGGAAGTTCTGCTTTAATCCCAGAGTCCAGAGGTCATTGAGGGGTTTAAACATGGCCAAATGTGATCTGAGTTATATCAAGCAAGATCACAGTACTTGCCATGACAGAGCATCTTGCTTGTATGTCTCTTTTGTTTTGTTTCTTCAGATGGCTATGTGCAGGGTTCTGTAGTGTGGACACTAATGATTCCTAAGAATCATTAACAGAGCTAACACAGGATCTGTCCCATCGCAGAGTTCAGGAAAAGATGCAATTATTTGTGTCGTGTGAGAAAGGATTCTGGAACATCCTTTTAAATTAGGGTTCAAGAAGGACCACATGATGTGGATTTGGAACATGGTTGTTGGGTCTGGAGACCTAAGGCAGATGCGTGAGCATCCCATCTCCCATGGAGAGCACTGTGATTCCTGCATCCTGAGAAGGACTTGTAAACCTGCATTCCTGTACCCAGAGGAGGAGATGCAGGGTCTCACAGATCTGCTAC